AAGGAAGGAAGGAAGGAAGGAAAAGAAAAGCAAAGCACGTGGAATGGGAGATGTTTTATTCATCTTTAGAAAATAAAATCTACCACACAGGTAGACGATTACTCATACAACTAAATTCATTCATTTTCCAACAATTTTTTTTGAGGATCTAAAAGGGAAGGAGTGGGTAACCAAAAGGATATAGTTCCTGCCTTCAAGGAGCTCCCAGATTTGGTGACATCAGGTGTGAAATCAAGGGGTCAGAGCACTGTGACATAAGTGCAATGCTGGGGGTGAGGACAGGAAGGTGACATAGGAACTGGAGCAGGGCCATTGCCTCATGTGGGAAAGAAGAATGTCAGGAAAGCTTTCCAGGGAAAGTAACATCCAATCTGAGTCCTGAAAGATTAGGAGATTGGGAAAGGAGGGAGTTCCAGGGAGATTTGAGGTGAGAGAGGGAAATACATTACTCAGCTTTGCCATAGTAACCAACACTCCCCAAGCCTCAGACGTTTGCAGTCATACACATGATTCCTCACTCATATTCACTGTACGCTGCAGGGCATCTGTGACTGTTTCAGGCTGGGGCGCCGTGCCGTTTTCCGTTTCATCCTGTGACACAGGCTAGAGGACCACCTATCTGGGGCATGGAGGAAAAAGAAGAAAGTGTCTTGGTGGCAACTGCAATGTCTCTGCAAGCTTCTGCTCATCCGCTCACATTTCACTGATCAAAGCCTGTCACACAACTCAGCCCAGAGTCAATGAAGCTTCTGCTTCTGCTTCTCTATGGGAGCATAGGCAGTGGTGATGCACAGCTACAGGGGAGCGGCAGAGTCCATGAACTGCAGGTTCTTGAGGCTGGCTGAAGCCTTGAGGAAGAAGTGGGCAGTGCGGAGAGATAGGTTGGTCACATGTGCAAAGTCCAATAGCAAAGGGCCCCATTAGCTACGGGAAGGGGGCTGTATTCCACCATTAGAGGACTTTAAAGACAGAGTGGCACAATCTCATCTGTGTTCCAAATTGGTTGCTCTCACTAATTTGTGATGGGTGGATTGGAAAAGGACTAACACTGGGGAGTGAGGAGGAAGAGGAAAGAAAGGAAATCAGTATTTATTTAATACGTCTTAGGTACCAGGCACTAGACTTTCACATTGATGTCAGACATGAATCGCAGTGGTACAGTCACTTTCTTCTTCCAAGCCTGGGGTCACAGTCCCTGGTGATTGGGCAGTGGCCACATAATCCCTCCCACCCACTCACCCCAACATCACTGATCAGAGTGGGAATCACTGACCCAAGATGATAAGCCTATAAGATTCTCTCTATGTCCACCCCTGTTCTGTCCCTCAGGAATTTGGAACAGGGGCAGAGATGTTTTTTAGTGTCTCTGGAGTGTTTGAACAGGGGGACACACAAAGACTAGGAAGCACCCAGGACAAGCTTCATCTAGAGTTGGGGAAAGTGTGGCTGCCTTGATTTCCAACTCTTTCCCAGATTCTGTTCCACTCTTCTTAAGGACATGGTATTCCTTGCCCTTGAATGCCTGAGCCACCCTTGAATCCTTAAAATACATTTATTTTTGTTTCTTCTATTTGTCTCAGTGGATTTCCATGACTTGTGCTTCAAAGTACCTTGACTGAGACATTCAAATTCTCTGGGTCCCTGAGGCTCACCCCAGGCATAAGGGATACCAACTCAAAGGGGCCATGAACATGTCCAGACTTTCCCAGCTGTGGGACTGAGGATGCTAAGGGATGATATGCTCTAGTCACAGTGGGCTCCTTCTCAGCAGGAGCAAACAGGGACTAAAGGTCACCAATCTCAGAAAATCTCAGGGCCTGCAGGGCTGAGACTTGAGAAGGGCAAGGGACAGTTTTTTCTAGAACCTAGACCTACTTCTTCCTGACACCTGGAAAGAACTCTCAACCACTGGAAGCTGGAAGTGTCTGGGAACCTGAGCTTAGAGAGAGGAAAGGCTTTGGGGGTAAAGGGAGAGAACTTGGTAGAAAAGCAGGCCCCAGTGCTGTGGGTCAGAGCATGCACTCTGCAGCCCAATGGCCTGGATTCAAGAACCCAGCTCTGGCCTAGCTGCCGGACTCACACTTAACCTCTACGAGCCTCAGGGTCATCACCTGTAAGATGGAGATGTTAATCACATCCAGCTTATACAGGCATTTGAGATTATGTGAAACAGCACAATGCCTAGCACATAATAAGCATTCAGTAACTTCGTCCTATCATTACTTTTGCTATTATAGAGAAACTAAGGGCAGCAAGACTTATGGTTTACACTGTGGGTTCCAGCATCAAAGACTGAAATCCCAGAGACCTTACCAGCTGTACGACTTTGGGCAAGTTGCTTAACCTCTCTGAACCTGTCTGCTCATCTGTAAATGCTAATACCCACATTGCAGGATTATCGTTCCCACTCCGCCTTAGTACACCATTTTGTGCCTAGAGGATATTCTATTAGTGGAAGCTATTTTTTATTTCAACAGATATACCTGGCTCTATCTCAAGGTTCAGAGGGCTCAGGGGGCTGATGAGGATGGAGTTAGGGAAGAGAAGCGGAGTCACTTTATTTTCTCTTGGTCGTAATCACAGTCCACACACACCTACAGAGCCTTTAGGATGAGTTCTGCTTTGTATTCAGTCCTGAGAACAAACACAATAGAACCAAAAAACTTCATCTCAACCCCATAGGAATATGCAATGCCAATGCCACACTTGTACGCAGCTGTCTTTTGCTTTCTGAGAATTGTTCTACTGTGACCAAAATCCTGGAAACACTATCGGATAATGTAAAACAGTATGGCAGCTGAAGTTCTTCAGTGTGTCTCCAAATAGGGAATCCAGGCTTTTCACATACATTAGCTTATTTCCTCTTCTCAAACCCCTGGAAGCAAGGCGTGTGTTACACTTACTTTACTTCTTCTTCTTCTTCTTCTTCTTCTTTTTTTTTTTTTTTTGAGACAGAGTCTCACTTTGTTGCCCAGGCTGGAGTGCAGTGGCGTGATCTTAGCTCACTGCAACCTCCATCTCCCGGGTTCAAGCAATTCCCAGCCTCCCAAATAGCTGGGATTATAGGCATCTACCACCACACCCAGCTAATTTTTTTCCCCCAGCTAATTTTTGTATTTTAGCAGAGATAGGGTTTCACCATATTGACCAAACTGGTCTTGAACTCCTGGCCTCAAATAATCCACCTGCTTCTGCCTCCAAAAGAGCTGGGATTACAGGCATGAACCTCAGCACCCAGCTTTTATTCCCTCCCCCATCTACCAAGACCAAGAAACTGACTCCATAAGTTTAAGTTGCTTACCCTTGGTCACACTGTTATTAAGTGCCAGGGGCAGGATTTAACCCAGATAGCCTGGCTCCAAAACCCACACTCCTTCCACAGTTGCTGTGGATGGTGAACCGCAGATGCCAAGGTGGTCTCCTGTGGCACCCATTCCTGTCTTTCCAAATGCCCACAAAGACCTCCAGTCATGCATCTCAGCATTTTCCAGGGTGCCTAGCCCAGGAAATTTTCCACAAAGACCTCCAGTCATGCATCTCAGCATTTTCCAGCTGCCTAGCCCAGCTCTGAGCATATAATAGAGTCTTGATAATAATTGTCATCTGGAAACTCAATCTGTTTTTTGACATTTAAGTCAGATGCTTTCTGAAATAACACTCATTGTATGCAACGCTAAATACTCGATCATGATCGCAGCCTTAGTGACAATAGCGTCAATTACTGAGCATCTACAATGTACCAGATATTTTGTAAACTTTCTCTCTAATCCCCAAAGTAATTGTATTCAATTCAACAACCTATTTGTTGAATGCTTGCTGTGCACCAAACACTGGGCTCTAAAACCCCATTTCACAAATGCACAAAATAAAGCTCCAAGATTGGGTCACTTACTAAAGGGGTTGGTTTGGATTAAGAACCCAAGCTTGGCTGACACCACATCCCACGTTCTCCACTCTAGTCACCCTACCTTTCTCTGTGTGTGAGAGCATTTGTAATAGTGTGACTATATTACAGTAGTTGGAACAAAGAGAGCTGATCATACTTGTCACCACAAACCAGAATGCCACAGTGCTACCAGAAAGACACCTCTTGGAGGCTAACTCTGACCAGGTCCCGCTGCAGCAGGCTCACGCACAGGTTTCCCTGAGCTATCTGGCCTCCCCAGCAGCGCTGTATCTTGTTTCTACTTACTTCATTAAAGTGTTCTCACAGCACTGTGCATAAATTAATTAGCATATATTCTTCTATAAGAAACAGCCCCTGGATTTCAACCTTAATTCAGAGACAACAAAGTAAAGTATTGGATTTCCAAGTTAAGAACAATGCTGGCTTTTTCTAGGTTCCCTTTAAAAATGCAGAACTCGGTAGAAACCCCTACGTGACTGCCTCCAATGGCCGGGTAGGAGTGGCCTCTTGCCCAGGTGCTACCCAAATCCGTAGAGCCAACAGCAGTTACCAGCCAGGCAGGAGGGGGTATCACTGATGAGTCGGGCTGATGCATTGTAATTAATGGTAATAAAAATAGATGCCACATGAGAAGTGCCAAGCCAGAAATCCCTACGACAGGATAGAGTTTCTTTCAGGTAATGGAAAGAAGAAGGAAAAAAAAGTCACTTCTAACAGGAAACCTGATCTACTCGTTGCCTACAGAGGATTTTTGTAAAGTAACTAAGGAAATGCAACGGAAGACGGCAGCCCCAGAAAAATTAGAATAACTCTACTTAGAAAACTTCCTTTCCTGCAGAAAGAAAGTGGAACCATGGGAACCTAGTGATGCTTTAGGCAGTTAGACCTCGAATTTCTAAGGGCAGCGAGTTCAGTCTGTAGCTCCTTCCGCCCTGGGGAGACTCCAGCACCCAGGACTCTGGTTGAAGGAAAGTGTCCACTCTCTGAGACTTCCCCTCCAAGGAAGGGGAGGATAAGACAGGGGCTGGGAGAGAAGAGCAGGAGGAAAGAAGAGGAAGAGGGTCATTCTCCTTTTGGCCTGGTCACTTTCCAGCTGTTGCTGTCAGTCTGACCCGATTGGTCATTCAGACATCCATTCAAACATTTCCTGGGCGCCCAGACGCTTCAGGGGAAACGTGAGATGGAGAAAAGCCAGTGTCTATCCCCCCAAGAATCCTGTGATCAGACCGTCTGGCAACCCATTGCACCTCCGGGCTGTGTGTGTGTCTGTCTCCGAGGTCTCGCTCTTCGCGGACGCGATCCGCTTTTCGAGCCCTCCGTACCAGCGCACAGGCGGGTCAGTGCTGGCGGGAGGAGGGAGGCACCAGCAGGCCCTCTCTGCGGCCTCTCCCTTCTGGGCTGCAGGCCTGGGGAGAGCCGAGCGCACAGCCCCGCCGGCCTGAACCCTGAGCCCGCCGCGTGGGGGCGCTGGCGTGCAGACCCGGCGGCGCTGCGGGGCCCGGGACGCGCAGCCCCTCCACCGCCCCGCTGCAAAACGACCCGGCGGTGGAGCTCGGCGGCTCCCTGAACCCAAAGCCGCCAGCCCGGCCCCTCTCCCGGTGGGCCTGCCCGCCGCGCCCGCGCCGCGCCCCGCCCCGCCTGGGCGAAGGGGCCCGGGAAGGGACTCCAGGACTAAGGCGGGACCGCGGGCGGGGACGCAGGGCCGGGAGTCGCAGGAAGGCTGCCAGCGCCCGGGCCCGGATCCCCGCCCCAAATCCCGCCTGGTCCCGGCGCCTCCCGGGCCGACTCGCCGCTCTGCCGGCCTCCAGGCGGGCCCCAAGCCCCAGCCCTCGTTTTTTCGTTTGAACAAAATCCCCTGTGAGCCTGCGGCCTCTAAACCGTTTTATCGTGTGGGCCCTCTAGGCTGCCGCGTGGGACTCAAGGTAAAGGCCCGGAGGGCAGAGGGGTGGCGGGGACCCCGTTGCTCCAACCCTCGGGGCCTGTGACCGCCCCAGCCACGTGCGGCGCGGGCGACGCCACAGTTCGCGCAGTTCCGGGAGTGCGGCCGCCCGTAGCCCAGCGCCTCGCAACCTTGCCGGGCTCGGGGCGCCGCGGGGCGCGTTCTCCGACACGGAGAATTCGAGTGAGCCGACTGGCCGCGCCCTGACCTGCTGCTCGCAGGACAGCACAGGAAACCGCGGGTGCTGGCTTTGCGAGGAGCTGATTGCGTCGGCCGGCACCGGACGGACCCCGCGGGTGCGAGGGGCAGGTGGGAGGCGCCGGAGCCTTAGCGCAGCCCCGCCCGCCGCCACCTGCCCGCTTTCAACGAAACGCGTCGCCCAGGCCCAGGCGGGCGGCCGGGTCCCGGCGAGTGTGCGCAGGGAAGAGAGAACTCGGTGACTGTCTGGGGACCGCGCCCGGCCTGTCCCGGCTGAGACTCTCGGAGCTGGCTCATAGAGGGCGGAGAGCCCCCAGCCAGTCCGGGGCGTCCCAGAACCGGAGGTGAGCTGCATGGAGCGCCAGAGGCGGGCGGCGCCAGGGCCGGAGTCTGCCCCGGGGATTTCTGCCGCCTTTATAGGCTGGAAAAATAAAGATCAAAACCAAACCAAAAAAAGAAAAAAAAAAAAGCTCTAGTTCCCTGACTTGGCACCAGGCACCCGCCCCCTTCTCTTTTTCCCTCTGTTGCAAACAAGGTTTCTGGTTTGTCCAGAACAAAGGCCTTCCCATCTGCTGGCCTTGGAAATAGGCGGAGAGCAGCTTCTTTTTCCTAGATTACCCTATTCTTTCCAAAAAAAGACCCCATCCCAAAACTAGAGAAGCCCTAGGGAGGCCAGTGGGCTGCCTTCTCACTTTTCCCAAGTGCCCCCGGTGGGTGCAGTGTGCCAGCCCCGGGCTGATCAATGGTCGCTGGACAGTGAGTGCCTTTGGCTCTGTGCTGGGAGCTTCCTGCCCAACTCCAGACACAAAGACCCCAAACTGCCCCTGACAGTTTGTCTAGGACAAAACTATTCCATCAGCCTGAGATCATCGGAAGCACCCACCCACCCATGCTGCTGCTTTCCAGAAAGTCTCATCCTCCCAGGCGACTTCAAGGAAGCTTGGAGGTGAAAGGAAGCATTTCAGTGAAGCCTAAATTGCCATGGTTCTGAAAAGATTTCTCCCCGTAGCCAGGGAGTTTCTCCGGTTTGTGCTGGATAAAAAGCAAGTACAAGCCTCTTGGGAATGGGTCTTTGGAGAGGAAGGAGGACAGGGATTCCGGAGACTGGAGCGAGGTAGACCCAAAAGTTTCGGCACCACGCAGGCCTCTCAGCAACTGCTCTGAACACTGCATCTGGGGGGCTGAGATTGTCATCAGCTCCGGTTGGCTATTAAATCCTCATCCAGACACCTCCCAAGTATTCTGTCCTGTGGCAAAGACTATCAGGGAATGGGCCAGGCAGGGAAGGGGCCGAGGAGTGTGAGGAGACCCTCATTCAGTATGTAACCTTTTTAGGGCCGGCACCCAACTACTGCTACCAGGAGGTTCTGACCCAGACCTGCTGGAATCAGTTTCCTACAAACATGGGGGAGGAGGAGAACCAGGGGCATATTGACACACACCCATACATCGGGTAATGGTGGCCCAGGTTTTCAGTGCTTGCTCTGTAATGAGTTTTCATATGGCACACACTGTGTTATCCACGGTGGCAGGCCCTATGTCTGTCCTGTTCTCTCTGTGCTGCTGAGCATTGCCTGGAGGCTCCTGGCAGGGCTGACTCGTGGGTTTAGGGCCCAGGGGCTGCAAAGACGGCATCACTTGGAGGAACAGTGAGTCTGAAGCTCCAGAAAAATCTGCTTTTACTGAACATGGGCAGGACCCAGTCCTGGAGGAAGTTTAATCTTAAAGCTCCATGGGTCGGAGGAGTGGTACATTCATGGTGAAGGCTGTGGCCGAGGTTGCAGAGATTGTACGTTTTTTCAAGGTACAGAAACCCACCTCAGCCCAGAACCAGCAGGAACTTGAGAGATCACCTAGGTTTCAATCTAATAGTGGAAGAGAATGAAGAAGAGCAGACTGGGGACTGGCCCAGGGCTTCATACCAGGAAGTGACTGCCTGGTCTCACTCACCCACACCAGGCCAGGGTGCTCCTCTGCAGCCCCAGCCTAAGTATGCTGAGATGTACGACGGCCATTGCCAGGGCTGGGACCAGCCAGCCAGCTGAATCCTTTTAACCATGTAGCTGAAGAAGAGGTGCTGAAAAGAGTACGTTGCACTTTTGTTGGAGGTCAGCAAAGTGGGCTTTGAACCTCATCACAGTCTGGGGTAAATTCTTCTCCAGGGCTCCCAGGGTCTTGGGAGCCAACTCAGGGGCATCCCCTGTGTGGCAGTGCATGGGACTCTGGATAGGTGACCCGGACACAGCAGGCCCCCTCCCAGCCCACAGATGCAGACTCTAAAGATGCCACCTAGATTTCTGCAGAAAGCTGCCCCTTTCTGTGCCCGTACTGGCTTGGGAACTACTTTATCAGCCCTGTGGCCTCATTCAGCACACCAGGGTAGGCCCTTGGAAGCTAAAGTCTTAAGAGGAGTCCTAGGGTTCCACTCTCTCATGCCTGAGACACTCCCAAAAAACTTCCAGAATGCTGGAGCAGAGGGAAAATTTTCGACATCTTACAGAGAAGGAAACAGACACAGAGAAATGAATATATGCCTTACCGAAGACACCAAGTAAAGCCAAAAGTTGAACCCAGGGCGCTATACTCCCATTCCAGTGCTCCTAGCACGAACCCCCTAGAAAGCATAAAAGGGTGGTAAAAAAGAAACTGGTCTAGACTAGGGTTCATAGCCTAGGCTGAGGGCAGAGCCCAGGATTTGTGCTGGCTTGGGTCAGGCACTGAGAATGGCCCTGGAACTCCTGGCCTGCAACAGCTGAGGGGGAAGAGGGGAAACTGAAGGAAGTGGAAAGGAAGAGCCAGGGAAGGAGCTAAGCCCCGGGCTTTTCAAAACGTGGACAGCGCAGGAACACCCCCACAGGACCAGCCACGTGTTTCCACTGGCGCCCTGACAAAGAAGCAAAAAACAGGACCCCCTTTTAAAGCCTGTCATCCCGGAGCTCAGCGAGACCAGGTTCCCAGGCTGGAGTGGCCAGGAGCCGAGCCGAGCCGAGCCCCAACGGGGAAGCCGGAGGACTGGGAACCTTGCCTCCGTTCTCCTCCCTGACCTCCCACCAGGGAAGCCCCACCACCGTCCTAGAGTCCCTGCCCTCGCACCCGCCCCGGTGGGCAGACTGCGGGTTTGCGCAGTCCCCGGGTTCCGCCTCGCAGCTGCCTGCCCGAGTTAGCTTCCATAGAGGCCACACGGAACTGCCCGGCGCTCCTCGGGCTGTGGGACCCGTGGGGTTAAGTCTGAGTCCCCGCCCCGCGAAGAAGAGCGCGCAGAATTGGGGCGGTACAGGCCGCCGGGCAGCCGGCGGGGCTAGGAGAGGGAGGAAAGGCGGGATCCTCCGGGAAGTCGATTCTCCGGCGTCCGCCCGCTGCCACTGCCAAATCTTCCTCATTTCTTTCTTCTACTCCCTCCCCTTTTCCCTCGAGGACCGCTGGGTCCAGAGTTTCTAGGATGGGGGTGGGGCGCTGTCAGCAGGAAAAGCCAAGTCTTTGGGCGGCACCCGAGCACGTCCAAACTCTTCCATCCCACTAGCCTACACTGGGATGGAAAGTGCCCGGAGAACAGAGAGCCCGGGAGGGACGCGGCGACCCAGGTGGGGAGAGGGGGCACCCGGCAGGGCTGGGCGAGGCTGCAGAGCCTTCTCCTAGCGAAAGCTGCCCAAACTTTCTTCCCCTGGAGGCTCCTTCCACCCCTCTTCCTCCCCTTCCTCCCGGACACCCCCTTAAATGGTCTCCGCCTTCCCTTCTCTCCTCTTCCCTCCCCACCTCGATCCACCCTTTTTGGTCTTCTCGGGTCCCCACTCCGCTCCCCCCGCTCCCCCAGCGTCCTCCTCCCTCGCTCTTTGGGCATCCGCCCCGTCAATCTCCGCCGCCGCCGGCCCCTACCCGGCCCCTCTCCGCCTCCCAGACTCTCAGAGCGCCCCAGGCTCCGGTCGAGCCGCCCTCTGTTTTGCGCGGAGCCCGGCGATCTGTCAGCGGAGCCGGCAGGAGGGAGCCGCCCGGCCCGCCGGGGCTCGGGTTACCAGTGACTGACAGCGTCTCCATGGCGAATAATTTGACTCCGACTATTGTCTGGCGCGGGCAGGCTCCGGGTCAGATAACAGGACCAATCAGGGCGCGGGCCGCCGCGCCTCATGCCCGCTTAGAATAATATTATTAAAAAAGCTGAGAGCGAGCTAGACGGGAGGGAGAGCGAGCGAGAGGCAAGCGGGGGAACGGCGGGAGGGCGCGGAGCATGAGGAGCGGCGCCCCGGGCGGCCCCCGGGCTTGGGCTAGGGCGCAGGCGAGGCGCGCGGACGGCGGGGGCGCGGAGCTGCGCGGGACCCGCGGCCGGCGCGGGGACGTGCGGCCGTGACTCGGGGCTCGCCGGGGGCCAGCGCTGGGCCAGGGGGCCTGCCCCGCCCGCCTCTCGGCCCGGACGGCCCGGCGGGGAGGCTCCCATGCGGGACCGCGCAGCGCGGTGAGGGCGCGCGCTGGCAGGCGGGGACGCAGCCGGCACCATGTCCATGCTGCCCACCTTCGGCTTCACCCAGGAGCAAGTGGCGTGCGTGTGCGAGGTGCTGCAGCAGGGCGGCAACATCGAGCGGCTGGGCCGCTTCCTGTGGTCGCTGCCCGCCTGCGAGCACCTCCACAAGAATGAAAGCGTGCTCAAAGCCAAGGCCGTGGTGGCCTTCCACCGCGGCAACTTCCGCGAGCTCTATAAGATCCTGGAGAGCCACCAGTTCTCGCCGCACAACCACGCCAAGCTGCAGCAGCTGTGGCTCAAGGCGCACTACATCGAGGCGGAGAAGCTGCGCGGCCGACCCCTGGGCGCTGTGGGCAAATACCGCGTGCGCCGCAAGTTCCCGCTGCCGCGCTCCATATGGGACGGCGAAGAGACCAGCTACTGCTTTAAGGAAAAGAGTCGCAGCGTGCTGCGCGAGTGGTACGCGCACAACCCCTACCCTTCACCCCGCGAGAAGCGCGAGCTCGCAGAGGCCACGGGCCTCACCACCACACAGGTCAGCAACTGGTTCAAGAACCGGCGGCAGCGCGACCGGGCGGCCGAGGCCAAGGAAAGGTAGGAGTAAGTAGAACTTCCTCGGCGCCAGCTCCCCGGGGCCCCAGGGAGGGGTTTGCAGGGCTTCTGCCCGTCCCCGGGAGAGGCCTAAACTGGGCCCCCAGGCCCAGCCACAGCCCAGCAGCAACCCGGCCTAACCCGGACAGACGGTTCTTTGCCGGAGACCCGGCGAGCAGGGATTTGTCTAAAGCGGGCAGAGCAATTCAGGAAGTTGTCAACTAACTACCCGGTCGCTAGAGGAATTGGGTGGAGAAGCAGAGAGCTTTGGAGGAAGAGCAGGACTGTGGCCTGGATCCCCAGTGAAGCAGACACAGTAGGTCTGGTCCTGCTCAGGATGGAGGGGTTTGGGCCTAGGTGAAGGCGGGATTTGCAGATTTCTTCCTGGTGGCG